GGAAGCATGAGAGATAGAGAATGAGAGAGAAAAAAAAAAAAAGAAGTCTTCCTCAGATTCTAAGCTACTTTTACTTTTGATTTTTTATGAGTTATATTTTAGTTTTCTAGAGAATATCAATGTTTATCATCTTTGTTGCCTTAATTTTGAGAAACGTCTAAGACCTTTCCCAAACTGAACGTCTTGTTGCAAAAAAAAAAAAAAAAAAAAAAAAAAAAAAAAAAAAAAAAAAAAAAAAAAAAAAAAAAAAAAAAAAAAAAAAAAAAAAAAAAAAAAAAAAAAAAAAAAAAAAAAAAAAAATCAAAGAAACAAAAAAAAGCTGTCTGAAAGAACAAATGGAACGGGAGCTTATCATATTACCTGTACAGAGGAACGAGAAAGGTCTTGTGAAGACATTTTAAATTATCAGTGGCGACTTTGTGTTTAAAAGAAAGGACAGTCAAAATATAGTGATGTGTTTAAAGAGAGTTGCATTTTTTTAGCAAAAAAAAAAAAAAAAAGAAAATGTTAAATCACTGCATCCTGGGAAATGCAGTTTATTGTGTAGTGGAGATCATTTTTAATGGCATTATTGTTTTTATCTGCAATATTTTTATGAGCTTTAAGGTGTTTTCAGCCTGCTTTGCTTGTTTCATTGCAAAAAAAAAAAAAAAATCAAAAACTAAAACCAGGAAAAAAAAAAATAAAAAAATACTGGCAGTGCAAAAGTACGTAGATAGGAGCTTTTGAATTAAAATAAAGCAAATGTGTGCAAAAAGCAATAGTAATAGGAAATTGTTGACAATTTCTTTAGTCTTTCTTAGCTGTGGATCAAATGCAGCCCATGGATGGCATATTTTATACCAAAGATGAAGAAACCCCGTAGAGACAGTGGAGTAGATCTTTTTTTTTTTTCTTTCTACTTGATTTTCTTTTTTGCCTTGTTGTTCTAGTCTCTGTGTCTCATAAGTATTTGTTTGACCTTGATGGCCAGACCAATACTTATATTTGGGGTGGGTTCTGGGGTTAAACTTCCTTCCTCTGCTGCAGCTTTCCTACCAATCACTCAGACGGAGAGAGGGCAATACTCCTAGATTGCATGCGTTGTATTGAGTGTGGTGTCTCCCCAGCAGATGGCATTAGAGAAGCTGTAAAAAAGGAACGTTCTCTGACTCTCAAGCTCTGTACATCTCTGTTACAGCACCCATGGGTCACTGACTCAACGTCTCTCAGTGTTATATTTTCAACATGGCTCCTCCGATTCAGCTTTTCTGAAATGACAAGCTTTCAGGAAACGTTTTAAGGGTTTCGCGTTCTCAGTGTTACAAACGTCATATCCTTTGCCAAAATTCCAGTAGTCACATGTGTGTATTTAAACTCTTTTGCAGTTTGCTACCTCAGTCTTAAGCAGTTCTACCACAAGGAAACGGGAAGCTAAATGTGTTATGGAAATGGTTTGGGATGCATGCTGGGAGTGAACTACCTGACAGGCCGCATGATAAAAAACTCAACAGAATTTCTTCTCGTGCCATAGTGTTTCCCGGATGCGCTCAAGTAAACATCCCACTTTACAAAATGTTCACACTCACATCTGTTGAAAACCCCAACGCTGGTGAAGTTAATCGGTTACGATGAAAAACAAGGTGATTTTTTTTTTTCAGTGTGGGATCAGGTGGTTACTCCAGTGCCTTGTCAAAAAAAAAAAAAAAAGCAACGAAGAGCTAAATCTAAATAAGAGTGAGACGTACCAGGCAAGACATGCTAACTGTTTAGACCACACACGCTAGTTCTCACCTCATTCCACCTCGCAGGAATGCTAAAACATAGGAGTCAGCTTAGAAAAAAGAAGGAAAACGTTTGTTTACCTGTCATCCATAATTCACTAATGATCAATAACTATTTCATTGCTCAACATGAAGTTTAAACACACATAGTGACGTTTCTGCTGGTAGCGATGTGCTCTGTATGCTACACATTGTTCATTGATAGCTTCACGGTCAGTTATTTTGAGCGTTTTCCTGATGTACCCTACTCCATAATGATGCTGAAAAATCAAGGATTATCAATTCCCATTATTCTGAACCGAGGACTTGAGATATTTGTTGCACCGACACATTGCTAGTTGTTAATCTGCATGAATAGTTCGTTGAGCCTCATCTCTCGTCATTGTCTCTTCACTTAGGGCATCTCTGGGTGCTAACCAGTTTCCTCCTCAGCACTTACTGGATAACATCCTATACAAATGAGCCACTACAGGGTCGGGGTATAAGCAAAGCTGGTGACTTGTAGTGTAAGATTGTTCTGTGTGTTCCCTTTTATATGTTGCTGAAGCAAACTGGTAGCTGCTGATACCATAGAATTCGATTTCTACTGCCATGAATGAAACATTCTCTCACAGTGATGTAATTAAACTATGTGGATGCTGGGGCGGGGGGGAACAGGACAGGGACTTTTTTTTTCTTTTTGTCTTTGGAATAATGAGTATAATGGAACAGGTGTGATGAATACGAAACCCTCTCTGCCACGTGTCCTGATGAATAGGCTACAGTGTGGAACCAGTCAAGGAAAGCTCTGTTACAGTGTGGAGGTCGAGCTTGCTACACATTTCCATTTCTCTCAATGAAACAAATTCTGTTTCCTTTTTCTACTGTGTCTATGGAACATTCATTTTATCATGTAATTGCTGCTAAAAAAGCATTCGGTATTGGAGGGCTACAGTGGCAGATGGGAGGCGATTAAGAGACTGACTGCTGCTTTGATAAGGACCACAGTGTTAGCAGAGCAGCTACATTCACACCATGGAAAGGGTCCAAATGCCTCCTGTATAGCAGAGTATGTACACTGCAGATACAGATGGAGCTGCTCTAAATGGTAGAACTAAACTCTCATTTTGTTGCTGTATTACAGCCTACAGTAAGTAAACTGTGCTCTTCCATTCCTAATGGGATTTTCACACTGTAAAATCCAACAGCAAGCCGAATTAAACTGTTCACCTACTGCAAAAAAGGTTCAATTCTTCTTGAGGAGCAAATCTAGATGATCTAAACGCGAAAAACATAAAGCGGAATATTCCATAATCCCTAAATTAATCCCTAAATCATAAAAAAAAAAAAAATACTTGACTTTATAGGAACAATGCAACGTTGTTTACTGCAGTTGTTTTTATCCTTAGAATAAATTATTTAATGAGTTCATTGCTGGGTTTTACAGTGCAGTGAACTTGAAACCTTAACACTACAAACCCTAACGCTATCTATTTCATTGGCTGTTAAGATTCCAGAGTTGTGTTTTCAGATATAATCAAGTAAGAAACTTTACTGACCAATCAAGAGCTGTGGCTTTAAAAACAAGGAAGGTCATGTTGTGTCAGCACAGCAGCTATTCACTATGATCTACCAAATTCAGCCGAAACAGCAAAACCTCTGTGAGAAATTAACTTATTTGAGAGGAAATGGAAAACTATTTATGGAAATCTTTTTAACTGTACGTGTGTTGATGAAAAGATTATGGAAGTGAACCAATTCTAGGATGCTATTTTTTTTTTTTTTTTCATGCTGCACATTCATGCCTCCTGTGTGTTCGAGTAGTGATCCTGAGAGTTTCTGTAAATCAGTGGATGTTGAGTTTAAACTTCTGTTTATTATAATGAATTATTATTTCAATGAAGCTTTCAATAAAAAAAAGGTCAAAATCTCATTTGCACAATGTCCTGTTTGCTTTTTTTGTTAATGACACACTACACTGCATGTAGTTTCACCAGGAGGCCAGCGGAGGGGACCACAGATACACAAATGATATGCTATGCAGTCCCACACATTGACTAGTGGAGATACCCTGAAGAGCTGTCTAATATACACACAAAATTCTGGCTGGGATACAAGAAGAGTATCTCATACATTCCACCACACTCAATGCAGTGTATGGAAATGCAGAGATGGAAAGAATGAGAGGTCAGGGCACTCTGTTGCTGTGGTCAGTGACCCTCCATGCCTGGTCTCCTCCCACTCCTCCATACTGATCGATAGGGTGCTTGTTCTTCTCCACAAGTGAGTGTTTCAGACTCCTCGCTGACCTTTCACCTTTTATCCCTCTATTCACACAATACTCTTTCCTAGCCATACAATACTAACGTTCATATCTGACATTTAGCTAAGCAGAAGAGGCAGAGATGTTTCTCTGTGAACAGTGACTGATTTGTTCTTCTTTTCCCAAGAATCAAAGCGTCAATGCCTGGGACACACATGCAATACTTCTTTAATAACTGATCAGCTTACCTGCTAAATCTATGACCGTGTCGATAGCAGCTCTAGTTTAAGAGGCTTCAGAGTGTGGCGTAGCCATTTAGCCACTCTTAAAATGTAAACTTTTTTTTAAAAATCTTTGCCAACATCGAATGTAAGAAAACGTGTATTCAACCATAGAAAAACGTGTTAACTGATCTCATCAATGTCAGCAATATCTCAGCAATATCTCAGTTTTTACCAGGTTTCATTCCTAACAATGGGACTCTTTCAACAAGCTGGATACAGTCGGATTTGCGCTTAAATCGTTTGTATGAGCGTTTACACCAGAAATTTGGTATCCATGAAAATCCCTTAAAAAAATTACCCCGTGCTCCTGAGTGTATGTCCATTTACGCATTAGAAGACTAATTAACGTAAACCTCGACTTTATGGACTTCAGATCATATAATTTGCATGAAATTGCAAAAATGCACTTTATGTATGGAATATACACTATTGAGTTGAAACTGCTTGTTTTTATTATGTTTACATCATTTAGCAGACACGCTTGTCCAGTGAGACTTATAAAATTGCTTTGTAGTCTCTATCAAAAACACACCCTCATGCTAGTTCACTAGGTCAGGGACTATGAGTAAAATTTTGGTTAAATACTGTAATTTTATATTATTGTCATTAATATTAAGAATATGAAAAATAATGAAAGTGAGCCAACACTAACCCATAAATTAAGACAAATAAAACTAATTATTCAGCTAATCATTTTTTATTGGCAGAGGGTCCCTGGAGGGCTAGTGGTTAGGCCACGGCGCTCTCACTGCTGCGGCCCGGGTTCAATCCCTGGCCAGGGAACCAACTCCACTGGGGTTGCTTCAACAGTGCGCTCTCAGTGTTGGTCCCAAGCCCGGATAAAATTGGGGAAGGTTGCGTCAGGAAGGGCATCGGGCGTGAAAACTGTGCCAAATCAAATACGTGGACCAATGATCCGTTGTGGCGACCCCTAACGGGAACAACAATAATTTTTTGTTGGTATAGAAGTGAGTCAAAATAACTTCCACTCCTGTCTTTTAGCCTCTACCTTGATCATTCATTTCGTGCTCCCTGCTGACTGTGCAATTGAATTTTTATGGAGCTTTGTGGCCATCACTACATGCAAATGAGCAGGTGATCAACATACGCACACGAGCACAAAGAAAAGTTTGATTTGGCTTACACACACATTTACACATAACTTTACTAAAAGTTTGATAAATAAGGCCCAGTGACTGACTGCATTTTGCTCTAATTGTGTAGCAGGGTTGAATGTAACAGGGTTGAGTTTTTTTTAGCAAATACACAAAATGTTGTGTATGTTGTCTAGCACCCATGCTAATGGCATGAGGATATCAATGGCATTCTAAAGTGACGTTTTGTCAACACTTGTCAGCCAATATCACAACATCACTGAAAATAAAAAAAAAAGAGAAGGGAAGAGCATACGTTTCTTTTTCCTATGATCTTAAGGAAATTCAAATGATGTAACATCCTGTTGAACCCAAGGGTTAATCTATGCATAGGGGTGAATGTGTTTTTTTTTCTTATAACTTGTAATGGATGACATGTGGAAAAGATGATGTAACTTCCTGTTGAACACAAGGGTTAATCTGTTCATAGGGGTGAATGTGTTTTGTTTTGTTTTTCATAACTTGTAATGGATGACATGTGGAAAAGGAAGTTTCAATTGTTAGATGTTAAATGGTTTCACACGTTAATGAAGATTTTTCAAGTGTTATAGTATAGTACAGTTATAGTGGGCTGGGAAGTGATATGAATCATACACATAGGTTGTTGTGAAGGACACTTTACCCATGTTTCAGATGTTTTTTAATGTTCATACATGTAATATCAGTGGGACCCAAACGGCACCCCAATCGTTGAATCACCATAAAGTAGTGCTGTGCTTTGGTTTGTAAGCTATATCTTTAAAGACTTTCACTGACACGCGCAGCACACGATCAACATAAACTATACAACAACTCTATTCCTGTATCAAATGACTCTCACAGGTGCTATTAGCTCTTCCATCATCTTGTCTCCACTTGTTCAAGACTTTTCCTGGATAGCACACATTGTATGTTAGCACATCACATGCAGCTCGTTTGTTATTTGGGAAGCCGTTGGAACAACATCGTTTTGTTGCTTTCAGCCATCCCTGAAAGTAATGTGTGATTTAAACCCATCAGTGTTGTAGGACAGCTCTCCCTCTTGATGATGATTTATTTAATCTACACACTCATGTGGCAGCTGGAAGCGCAGGTGTCTGTGCTGAAGTATGTACAGTCATATCGGCCATATAAGTCAATCACCAGGCTTTAACCTAACCGAGCGCGCATTTCACCTTTTGAAGAGGAGACTCAAGGGAGAAAATGTTTTCTCCCTTCAAAAACCAATAACAACTGAAAGAAGCTGTGATACAAGCCTGGAAAAGAAGAATGCAACAGTTTGGTGATGTCAGTAGGTCATCGGCTGGATGCAGTTTATTGCAAGCAAGGGACATGCAACCAAATATGAAGTGTTATTTATTTTAATTCACTTTAAGACTATCTGTTCCGATACTTTTGCTCACCTAAAATTGGAGGGTCTGCCACCAAAGGTGCCATGTTCTAAGTTGTTTAACATGTCTAGATGTGAATATCAGGAAATGAAAGCTGAAATTCTGATCTGTCATCTCATATTCATCTTTTGATCTCAAACCCCAATGTCTTTAGTGTATAGCAAAAACAATATAATTGGCCTTGCCGCTCCAGCACTTTCAGAGGGGACTGGATCTGTATGTGTCCTGTTTTTATCTGTTCTTCTGGCCTCCTGTTTAATTCTCAGTCTCTACTCATAAGTAAGAGCAAAGTCAGGTCAACAAAATTGGTAATGTCTGCTATGCCACGCTAGCTAGCTAAATTTCACTGAAGAAGGTAACAGCTAGCGAGCTAGACCTATAAATAAACAAAAAATGTCCAAAACAAGCACAAATTATTAAACATAACTTTATAGGTACAATTTACAGTATTTACCAATTACAAATATAAAATATTTTTTTATTGATATTTAATTTTACCAAGAGGGATGAATAAATATAGACACTTTGGTAGACATTTCATTGCTGTATTTTAATGAAATTGTTCGAGGAGGCCAGGCTTGTGTGTAGTCCTAAAGCAATCACCTGTGACAAACTCGCCATGTGATAAGCAGATTCAGCTCAGATTCAGCTCGGTTCCCTTAATGCAACTTTTATCCCACAATTATTTGACATAACCTACTATTTTGGTGAGTTCTTTAGCCAGCTAACAAAGGACTGACTGTAGTCAGCAACCAAATATATATTTTAAGTATAAAACCATAAAATATTAATAACAACAATGATGCATTAATAAAGTTGTGCCAATATCTTCCTAATTGGTGAATTGCCTAAATATAGTATCATTGAGACGGAAACTTTGCATATGCCAACGCTGGCTAGATGTGTATGAGCTATCTGGATTGTTTTTTAATACTGCTACAATTTTCACCTGTTTCTCCATTTTTCTTTCTTTTGGCCTTCTGTTTTGCATTGATTGATGCATTGATGCATTGATATTATGCGGGGGCTGTAAGGATGTAGACATTCGAAAAACCCATAAACACTAAGCCCATCTAAGTGGGACCACTGCACTTACACAACAGAAGATACAGTGTGGGATCATGAGATCACCACATGCAAAGATTGAGAAACACTTGAACTTTACTCAGTAAAATGTGTTGTGTAATTGTTTTCATACATCTTATCATACACTCAAAGACTTCCAGCATACCATTATTTGGATTTAAGACACATACATTGGATTTAAGACATACATCCAAACCACATTTCATGGGGTATACATGCTGTGTAAGACTTACTAGCTCTTTCACAATCCCACTCACATGGCCAGGATTGCATTTAAAGACAAATTAGCTGTCAAAGATGATTGCCTTTACTTGCCTTGTCATGCATAGGAAAGCTTCTTGCAAAAAGGGAGTTATTTGTTTGCCTGTGGGTTCATCAGTACCATTAATAGGGAGGACTGATATTTTAGTGCCATCATTTTTACAGCAGTTTGACTGATTTTTCAATGTTTTTCATCCTTCATTGTCAGCGCTAGTGTTTCATGTTTTAGAGGTTAAACCATCGAAGACTCCATGACAAAAAAACTATAGCTAAATTGCTGATGGGATTTTAATAATTCTTGCATAATACATCTCAGAGTTAAAGGAGAGCTTCTAAATAATAACCAAATTTTAGCATGATATATAATGATTAGAAGCTAAATTGATCTTGTACTCAAGGCCAATGCTTTTATGTACCTAAAATATTACGCAGGCCTACAGTTATGCGTTATAAGATGTTAGAATTTACCACATCTGTTTTGTCCATTGATCTACTTCTTCAAATTCTGCAGCCTTTATAGTGAAAAAACACAGCAGGCTGAGCGGGTGGTGGCCAAGCTGCTTTAAGAGAGTGCTCAGCCTACTAGAGGTCTGAAGAGCTTTCAGAAGCTGGCTCTAGAACCCAGTGCAATAATTTCTCAAGGCCTGATCATTCAGCATGGCGTGCCAGCGAGCATTTGGGAGATACTGGCAGCTCCACACGAGCAGTGCGCCAGCTGGACAAAATTCTCCCTGTAGTTACCTGAAGACCCAGAAATTCGGGAATCTGCAAGAAGGTTTCCATGGTAACCTACAGAACTGTGGGCTTGGACTAACTTAGTGTAGCTGATAGTTGTGCTGTTTTCACACTTGTACATGCTCTGGCATGCAGTAAATGATGAGAAAAACAGACTTGAGGCCAAGATGTTTTTGTTAATTTTCCATATGTCTCACATGTGGGCAGAACTCTGTTCCATGTCAGTTTATACGGGCTGGACTCTCGGCAGTTTTTCAGCATGTTTGCTTATAGTACTTACAGAGGAGAAACTTTGTTCACATTGTTTTTTAGAAATATTGTCAACGAGGATGCCTCCACCACCAACAAGCCTAGTCTTTTCAGATTTTTTTTTTAACCTTCACCCTTTGCTGTGACCTTGACCCTGTTTGGATTAATGCGTATTAATTCACAAATCTAATCAATTTAACTGCTGGTTACAATGATTCTACATAAATCCTACAGATCAGACAGAGGGACAGATGGACAGACAAATTGTAAACATAAGGCCTCTGTCATTCTACATTCAATACTTTTGACTAGATATAGATACAGTTATCAAAATAAATGCTTAGGTGAATGTCATTATATGTCCAGCATGACAATAACTGAACTGGACCATCTTCTACTCAACATTCTTCAACCCCTTCTGAGTGCTGGTAGGTTTGGTGTTTGTCTTTACCTCAAGTGGCCTTATATTCTAATTTAAGGGCCATTAGGTTCATTTTTATCTTTCATCAGACACACTAACCCTTGCCAGGCACTGACATCCTCTTCTTTCCCCCTGTCTCTCTTTCTCTTTTCCTGCTGTTTCCTTTCTCTTCCCTTATGATATTTCCCTAGAGCTGGAATGTGGAACTCACACTCATATTTTTTTTCCTCATTCGTATTTCCATGTTCTCTCTCCAGATATGGTGACCTTAACAGCAGCTCAGACGGCTTGAGCAGTTACTATGGTTTCAGGGGGTAAATAGTGGCTGTGTGTGCGTGTGCGGTTTTGAGTAGGCGTGGGGCTCTATATTGACACAGCAGTAGAAAGGGGCATTCCACTGACGCCCACTCAGGAAAAGAATGAGAATATCATGTCTTTCCAATGGCAATAACAGATTGGCTCTTGTGGACCCTTGTGTATATTCCCTTGACAGGCTGAAGGAATGTG